TTGCCTTTGTGTTTGCTGGGGTGGCATCTGTCTTGGCAACAGGTGAGCATTTTTTTCGGATTTGGGGCATAGGAGTACTAAACAAAGAAAATAAAGGAATCGCAGCATGTTTAAGACTTAAACTGCCTCAAACATTGAGAACACCTTGGAACCATGAGAATAGACCAGTGGGATTAGCTTGGCTCAGCTCTTTGCAATAAATCGGGTGGCTTGTTACTTGTCTGATTTCAGTCAATTCAAAGGCTTTCTGTAACTTCCTAGAAGAAAAACCTTGTTATTGCACTTAGTACAAAAGGCCTTTCCCCGGAGTTTATGACCATTGTTTCTCTTCTATTAACAGGTGGTTTTCTGTCCCTCCAACCTTGCTATTGTCATAGCATTTTTCATCCAAGGATTCAAATTACTTTACAAACATTAATTACATCATTCAGCTGCCTGAAGGAACCTATCTAGTGGTTACAGCAAGGGCTGAAAGTCAGGACTTGTGAATGCTATTTCTGGCTCTGCATTGACTCACTCTATAATCTTGATCAATTTATTTCTGACTCAGAAATTTTAATAGTCCCACTTTACTGATAAATATTCATGCCACAAGTATTACGGCAAATGCTTCCTGAATGATGGAGATGACAAATACTCATGATGCTCGCCTGTGATTGTTAGGGTTGCAAAGTAGGATAGGGTTACCTAGGCAGGTTTTCTATTCAAAACCCTAAGTAGTTCATTGTTCTGATTCCAATCTAGAATGTATCTGTGGCCCTTCTACCTGTAAACAAAGGTTTTATTAAATTACTTAAATTACTGCTTTCTTTTTACTATGTGTGGCTAATTCTTTTCCACTGATATCCCAGGGACATCCAGATTTTCCACAAGATTAGATATTCGGTCCCGTCATGCAGGGTATGCGGTCTGCTTGGTAAGAAAGGTCAGCGTTACGAAAGGCGGATTTCAAATGTCCGTGCTTCAGTATTTGGACACTTGTCAACATAGCATAGATGAATATCAGATTAAAAACATGTGAAACCGGTGTTCTGGTATGAGGAGATTGTGACAGTTGTACATACAGTCTTTTTCCCTAGCTAGAAATAGTTCTGACACAAACAGGAAAAAAAAGTGGTTTCTTGGCATGTGTAATGGGGAGATAACAAAAGAAATAACATTAACAGAGATGGATCTGTGTGACTTCAGCCTCTGATGGTATCACTGAACTCCCACTGTGGGTACAGTAATGTAAAACCCCACAATTTATCTGCTGGTGGGAGGGGTTTATGATATAAAAGGCTCCTTTACTGCTGCTGGGAAGCGCACGCGTGCGAGTGAAATAGGGTAAGACAGATGTTTGCAGCTGGATCTCACTGCATTTGAAAGTCCCTTCCATGGACGTTCAGCGTTACTCCCATTCTCAGTACAGCAACGCGTGCATAAACAGCCCGAGGTTGCCTCTTCATTTTCATATTGAAAGGAAACTGAGGAGCACACTAGTAATTTCACTTT